GAATATAAGTATATTTAATAGTTTAGAGAATATGTTTTGTCAGTCAGTCTAAAACAACTATCTCTACTCGATCCCGTTCAATACATACAAAATGCACTAGCACAAGAAGTTGGAACTATACCGTTCCCATAATCAAGATAAATTACATATAATCTTGTGCTACAATTGTATCGATGACATGTCCAATTTCTATCCTAGATTGTGAACAAAAAACTTTATACTTATAAGAATCGATGATTTAATCCTCTGTGTATAAGCTAAAACTCTACACACTAAATCATCTACTATATAAATAAACAGACACCATAGACGAATATATAATCTATTAAAATTGAGCAAATATTTATTCTATAATAAATATTATTTCTTTAACACATGGTTAATAGTATATATCCCAAGAGTGAACTCTTATTTCTTCACAGCAAGCAACTCTGCAGGCGAAGTCTCAACCTCCGGAAAAAGTAGAAACTGATAGTACTGTTGGAAAAGGTTCCGAGCCAATAAAAGAAACTAGTTAAGTGTAATGAAGACAAAGTGACTATCAAGCTTGCAAGTCCACATGATCTTCCAACTGATGCGAGTGCGACAGCTTTTCTCAATTACAAGCTAGCTCATTCCCCATAACCCTCAAATTGGTTCCTTCAATGCCCCACTAATAATGAGTGGAATCTGTCCTCTCTCCAATCTGCTGCTGGATTGCGTCTGCGATGCTCAGATATCCTGTGTCGACCTCCACTTTGACAATTCTTTTATGTTGCCTGATTCGTATGGTATTAAAGAGCTGTCAGAGGAGAGCCATTATAACCAAAGTGATATGTCTTAACTTTGATAGCAACAGCGATTGATAATTCTGTTTCGAGCGCAGTGTTAGATGAGTTCGCCTACTGATTTCCAAAATCCTTCAGATTTACTAATAGGCAACATCAGTTCTAGTCAAGATGTTCAATCTCATATTACAGATTCTCAGAATTTCTCTGTACAAGAACTTGTTGGGGATGTTCGATGCAGAATATAATCGATGATATTCAACACAAAATGCATCAAAAGAATGTCGCGATTAGTCATTGCTATAGAGAAAGTAATGGAGTCGCAGATGCTCTTGCGAAACATGAACCACCCTTCAAGAAGATAAAATTTTCCTACATAAAGAAGAGCTTCCTAAGGAGGCTATTGGCCCCCTTAAAATGGATAAGATGCAGCTTCTGTCCTTTAGAAGACGAGTAAAAAAACACTCTTCTTGGTGCTACAAACCCCCAACTTAGGCTAAATCTAGCTATTGGTTACTTCGATGTTTATCTAGGTTTATAGCATTTCAATGTGCCAAAACTCTTAGTCTTAGACAAGATCTCTAATTAGGAGTATTAACTCTACTGTAAATGCTCTTTTTGTGTCTGGAGGTTGGGTTGCCATGTCCCCCTCTGGCTCTGTAATTTTTGCTAAATCTTATTAACATGGTTTTAAAAAAAGAAAAGAGTAACACACACACAAAACTTTTAAGCACTTTTTTAAAAGTCAAAAGTGACTCACACTGCCTCGAAAGGGCACCTTAGGCAGGTTCGTCTCCTTCCTTCTTATGAGAGAATTATGATAAGGGTTGTAGGTCGAGTTCAAGGTATATTTGGTAAGGATTTTCCTACGTTAATTAGGCGGAGAAGGGCAATTGACTTCCTCCCTTCATTCTTATGTTCAAGTGTGAGTAAAAAGACTTTTATGTATGAATCAAACTTATTTTAGATATATCATATATGCTCACTAGATATTATATTTATATTTGGAGAGATGGATAGATATGATTATAACCCGTCCAAATTGAATCCAACTTGACCAACTATCATCCTTATCTAACGAGTTTGGAGCCAAAAAGGCAAATAAAATTGTCAAAAATTTCAAAAGGGCACATCAATTTTTTTTAAAACCAAAAGGACAAAATCGCTCGTGGCGAAGTAATTTTCTTCTAACAAAATTGACGCCGTTACTCCATTAAAAAGCATAGCGATTTTGTCAAAAAAAAAAATCTTTTTAACATGGCAGTGTTTATCTCAAAAAAAAAAACTTTTTAAAATTGAAATTTCTTAAAAATATTATTTTTTTTATAAAAAAAATCGCTTGCAAGGCAGCAATTTCATTAAAAAGATTTTTTTTGCTTAAAATAAATTGCTGCCTTGAAAAAGCAGCAATTTAAAAAAGGAAAAAAATAATCAGTAATTTTTTTTTTTTTCTAAAGAAATCGCTGCATGGCAAGCGATGTTTTAATAATTTTTTTTAATATCCGGACTAAAACTGTACCAAGAGTCTAATCCTTATTTTATGTCTGATATTATCTCTTTATTTTATCTCCAGGTTTAGGGCCGGCAACTATAACACCCCTCCTGTTTAAGGCAAAAAGCAAAGCAAAGCAAATTCATTATTCTTTTTGCCCTAATATGGAAAAAGGTACAGTGAATTGGTCTGAACTTGCATACGATATACTTGTTACGATAGCGAATCGCGTTACATGTATAGATGATTTCGTTGTATTTGGTGCCGTTTGTAAATCATGGGGAACTGCTGCTACCAAAGAATTTTTTGATTTTTCATCTACCCAAGCTCCGTTGCTTATGTTGGCTGCTGATAAAGATGATGATTATCGAGAATTTTACTCTCTTTCCAAGAAAAAAGTTTCACGCAGAGTCTTTCTCCCCGAAGCTAAAGGGCGAGAATGTTTTTCAACCCAAGGATGGTTTTGCACTGTGGAATATGAAGGTACAGTTATAAGAGATATGAAGTTATTGCATCCTTTCTCACGTGCCCAAATACAGCTTCCTTCTCATACTAGCTTGTTAGAATATTCGGAATCAATAGATGTGATCATCATCCGCAAAGTTGTGTTATCTGCTAATCCTTCCTTTACATCCGATTATGTTGTAATGATCGTCTATCCTTATAGGCATAAAAGTTATTTGGCTTTTTGGCGACCTGGAGATCTCCATTGGACCAAAATTGATATTGACAGATGTGGTTTATTCAGGGATATACACTACTTCAAAGGACAGTTTTATATGATCACTTGTGATGGAGTTTGGGTTATTGATAATCTTGAACCCCGCTTGCTTCTCTGGATAACCATTAAATATGAGAGAAATACGCACTCAAAGCATCTATATCTAGTTGAAGTATCAGGTGCACTATTACTTGTTGCGCAATTTATTGAAAGTAATAAACTAGTTAGACCCAATAATGAATATGACTTTCAAGTATGGGAACTAGATCTGATTGAAGGAGAAGCAAAAGAGATTAAAGTTTTGGGAGATAGAGCAATTTTTTTGTGGTGTAATACTTCAACTGTGATTGATACTTCTAAGTTTATAGGGGTGAAGCCTAATCACATCTATTATACTAGTAATTGGACAGATTTACTTTACCCCTACACAAGTGTTGCTGTCAAATATACGAGGGCTTACAATGTTGAAGATGGAAAAATTACATCGGTTCATTATGACTCACCTGTTAGTCCTGTTTACCTGTCAACTTGGGTTACGCCATCGTTCTGACATTTTAGATTCAAAAAGCTCTTCTTGGTCATTTATTTTTGTTTTCCACCTTATCAAGATGAAGTTTAGGGATTACTTATTCTCTAATCTTGTTTTACATTTGTAGTTTCTTGCTTTTCATATCTATGGAGTACTATCTTTTGTCTATTGTGTTTAGTTTCTATGTTTTCATTAGTGTGACGTTTTGCCTTTTCATAACTACTTGATTTGCTGCACTTGAACTGAAGGACCTTCTCTATCGTCTCATACCCCTCTTATAAAATTTCACTGGACGTATTATTGTTGCTAAAATAACTACCGTCACTCCGTCAGTATTGATTTTGATCATACACCAATGCTAGGCTTATTCCATCTAACAGGGATGCTCTGAACAACTGGACGGAGATTTTCCACCTTGTTGATCCAATTATCTTCAGTATCAATCACCGGAAAGCCATTCAGAATCACGGCTTTGATGTTCCAATGTGCACTGAATTATCATTCTGTAATGATAGAACTTGTTGTGGTCACCATACTTGCAGGCAGTCTATGCTTTCCAAAGTTCCCAACATACTTTGAAGCACTTGTTGTTAGGTCAAAAGTGACTCACACTAAGCCTCGAAAGGGCTCCTTATTTAGGCAGATTCGTCTCCTTCTTTCTTATGAGAGAATCACAGTTAGGGTTGTAGGTCGAGTTCATGGTTTATTTGGGCTTGTGTAAGGATTTTCCTACAGTTAGTTAGAGAAGGGCAATTGACTTCCTCCCTTCAATTCATTCTTATGTTCATGAAGTACCGCAAGGAAAAATACTTTTACATTTTAATGTCTGAATCAAACGTCTTTCAAATATATCATATGTTTACAAGATATTATGTCCGGAGACAATGGCGTAGCTAGATGGTTGTCAAGGTGTCCAAAAAAATACCTTATATACAAGTAAAATGATACACGAAATAATTATATAACATATATTAACCTTAACACAACAAGCTATTGTAACCCAGTGATTTCAGATGCTTGGACTGAGGCAATGTTTGTGTGTTTGAATATCACTAGTAGCAAATGTTTTTTCCACTTTTCGAAAAGAATGTTGTGTTATTTCTGGACACCCTTTGTGAAATTCCCCAACCAATTGTTAAGTCACACTTTCATGTTAGGCTACTTTTCATCAGGAGTACTATTAAGTTGTTACCCGAATTTCCAATATTGAGTTGAGTCCATGAACTTTAGATTTAAACAAAACAAAAGAGCAAATCAGAAAGGGTAAATTAGTCCAATCACATTTTATTAGGTTAATAATAAATAAAGTAATATATTGTTACACATAATTCAAAAGTAAAAGCTAAATGTAATATCATAAATCACAAAGAATATTACTGTTATAATTACCCTTTTCTAGGTTTGGGGCGGGCAGGCAGCAGGCAGCAGGAGTTGTTTTAGTTTTTACTAAATATACGCCGTGATTGAATCACAAACATGAATTCCAAAACAATGAGAAAAGGTACAGTGAATTGGTCCGAACTTCCATACGATGTACTTGTTACGATAGCGAATCGTGTTACATGTATTGATGATTTCTTTGTATTCGGTGCCGTTTGTAAATCATGGGGAACTGCTGCTACAAAAGAAAATTTTGATTTTTCATCGCCACAAGTTCCGTTGCTTATGTTGGCTGCTGATGAAGGCAATGATTATCGAGAATTTTACTCTATTTCCAAAAAGAAAGTTTCACACAGAGTTTTTCTCCCAGAAGCTAAAGGGAGAGTTTGTTTTTCATCGTTCGGATGGCTTTGTACAGTAGGATATAAAGGTACCAGAGAGATGAAGTTATTGCAACCTTTCTCACGTGCCCAAATTCAACTTCCTCCTTGTACTAGCTTGATAGAATATTCGGAAGATGAAAACTATGTGATAATCTATAGAGTTGTGTTATCTGCTAATCCTTCGTTAACATCCGACTATGTTGTAATGATGTCTTATAATTGTAAGTTTAGACCTTATTTGTCATTCTGGCGACCTAGAAATCTTTACTGGACCAAAATTGATATTGAGGGATGTGGTTCGCTCCATGATATCCAATACTTCAACGGACAGTTTTATATGCTCACTTATGACGGAGTTTGGGTTATTGATAATCATGATCAACCCTGCTTGCTTCTCAAGAAAAACTCTAATTATGAGACTACATATTGTCCATACTATACACGGTACTATCTAGTCGAAGGATCAGGTGCACTATTAATTGTTAAGCAATTCTGTGAAAATGGTAAAGTAGTTGGACACATAGCTGGCGAATATGAATTTCAAGTATGGCAACTAGATCTAATCGATGGAGAAGCAAAAGAGGTTAAAATCTTGGGAGATAGAGCATTATTTTTGGGGGGTACTGCTTCAACTTCAATTGACCCTTCTAGGTTTGTAGGCGTGAAGCCTAATCACATCTATTTTACTAATGGGAGAGAGTTAAGCCTCAACAAACACAGTGGCAAATATATGAGGGCTTACAATCTTGAAGATGGAAAAACTACATTTTTTAATCATAACACTCATGTTAGTCCTGTTTTCCCATCAACTTGGGTTATCCCGTTGTTCTAACATTTTAGATTAAAAGCTTTTGCTTTGGTCATTTAGTTTTGTTTTCCACCTTCTCAAGATAAAGTTTAGAGAATTATCTATTCTCTTACATTGTAATCTTGTTTTACATATATGTAGTTTCTTGCTTTTGTTATTATGTTTTGGTTATTGCATTAATTTGTTGTTGTTACTGTTCTTTTTTCCGAATGTTCTGTATTTTGCTTTCTTTATCAATTTTATAACTTCTTGATGGAGCTCATTAACAGTAGCGTGGTAATGGTTTCAGAGAGAGAATATAATGGTATGGTCAAGTATTGTGAGAATAAATCTCTGAAGAATGGGAAATCAACAAGCAGGAGAATCCTCTAAATTGGAAAATTTGAGGATATTAAGGCGAGTTGTAACTCTTGAATGTGATATGGTGGATGTGTGTGTCATACGGAGGTATCTCCAATTAAGCGGTATATGTCAGCTTTGGACAGGATTTCGTTCATTAGAAGAGTGGTGCCTCAGAGATATCACGTTCCACAAACTTAAGTTTTTGAAACTAGTAATACTTAGATATCTCAAAGTGGGATGCCTTGGAGGAATCCTTTACCCTGCTCGAAACACTTGGTATAAGAGGGTGTGAGAAGCTCGAGGAGATCCTCTATCAATCTATCGCTTTAGAGATGGAACCAACATCATCTGACTCCATGTTAAGATCATCGACTCAATACCTTGTGGACTTAAAATTATTACCTATTCTTTGTGAAATGCTGTCTACTAAACACACTTCTGCACAAACATAAAACGATTAATTTGATGATTGTACTTTCAGGAAAATTGATATGCTGATGCTTCCATTGTCTTGAACTTCAATGGTTGCGTATTAGTCGATTCTCAATTATGTTTTAAAATTTATTGATTTGACTTATCGGTTATCGATTTATGGACATATTAAATCGTTGTACATCATTAAACTATTGTTTTATGACTTTTATCGGTTTTACCTTTAAGATTTCACACTCAAAAAAATCATTGAAAGTTACTTTAAAACAAGGTGACAAACCAAATTAAATGAACCACGCACATGTGCGTTGATAGAATACATCTTGTTTTACATTCATAGTTTTTTGCTTTTCATATCTATTACTATCTTTTGTCTATTGTGTTTAGTTGCGATATTTTTGTTAGTGACGTTTTGCCTTTTCATAACTACTTGATTTGCTGCAATTGAACTGAAGGACCTTCTCTATCTTCTCACACTCCTCTTGTAAAATTTCACTGGACGTATTATTATATTGTTGATTTAACTCCATAATTGGCTGCTAGAGCTTCAGCCAAATTGTTGTTATTACATTCAACCAGTATTAAGAAGGCTCTAATGAGTACGCCCGTGACAGTTCTCACCACAACTCCCATGCCAGAATTTTTAGTATTGCTAAAATAACTATTGTTGGGTGGTATAGTAATCCCAAGATACTTTATCCTATGTAAAATAACAAAAATATCCCTCTAAACTCTATTTTATACACCATTTTTATATTTATGTATATTAACATAATTTTTAATAACATTTATAAAAGCATTCACAGCCTTAATTAAGGGTGTTCACGAGTTGGTTTGGATCGGTTATTGGTCAAAAACCAAAACCAAACCAACTGAATCGGTTTTAAAATTATCAAAACCAAACCAAACCAAATATAATATACATTTATCAGTTTAGTGATTATCGGTTTCGGTTTTGGTTTGGTTCGGTTATTAACCATACACAAAAATAAAAGAAACAATTCATTTAAAATGTGAAAAAAGTGACAACAATCCATTCAAAACGAAAAATAGTTAGAATGACTTAAATTACTAAACTTTCAATCACTAAATTTACTATCAATAAAGCTTTAAAATTCACTATATTGGCCTAGAAGGAAGAGACAATAACATTTTCAGTCCCACAAAGAATTGACATAGACACTCATATTTATGAAATCAATAAGATAATAGTTTCATCTTGGGCATTTTTGCTTTCAATAAGTAAATTATAAAGAAATTTTAATGAAAATATGTATAAGATCTTTAAAATTGTTTATAAAAATAATATATTAAGTATGTATATTAATAAAATATATGTATATAATTCATCGGTTCGGTTCGGTTATTTCTTCGGGTTTTTTCGAATAAAACCATAACCAAACCAAATACTATCGGTTTTCAAAAATCTAAAACCAAACCAAAACAAACCCAAATAAAATCGGTTTTATTTTATCGGTTTGGTTTGGTTTTTCGGTTTGGATCAGTTTTTATCCAAACCGTGAACACCCCTAAGCAGAGTAAATTATTTTTAAAATTTTTTGTGATCTTAAATTAAAAATGTATAAAATATATCATATTTATAAAACATATTAATTATTCGTTGTTTTAATGATAATATATTTTTCTATTAAGAAATTACATTTTATAAATACAATTTTTATTTATGAATATATTACAAGATTTTATTTGCCTAGTTCTTATGTTTATTTATAGTGTGTTTTCTCTTAAAATGTTCACTCCACTACTAAATTACATATTTTTAATTAAATAGTTTATTACTCACTTAAAAATTATATTTTATATGACTTTAATAATAAAATTTCACTTACTTTAATAAACTTAAAATATAAGTTTTATTTTTAAACTAAATAAAATGAAAGTTTTATTTTTAAACTAAATAAAATGGAAGTTTTATAGTTGAGGAAGAACAATTTCTTATTAGTTTGTTTTGTATTTATAGTTTTTTTTAGACTTTTGTATCCTTTCTCAATTAATATTCAAATCAATATGTATGCTATTAATATTTGTATTCATTCAAAATCTCATGTTGCATAGTTTATGAATCTTGTATTTGTTTCTAATTTGAATTAATCTCAAAGGTATGTCAGCTTGATATGTATTTTATTTATAGTAAGAATAACTTCCTATTAGTTTGTTTTATTTTTTTTATATTTTTTTCCCAAAATTTTGTATCCTTTCTCAATTTGTATTCAAAATCGTATTTATGCTATTAATATTTGTATTCATTCAAAAATCATGTTGCATAGTTTATGAATTTGGTATTTGTTCATAATTTGTATTCATTCTAAAGGTATGTCAACTAGTTATGTATTTTATTTAAGAATGATTGCAACAAATATTCACTTATTCTTTTTCAGTTTTATATTTCATTCTCACTTTTTCATCAAATAAGATTTTGTATTTTATATATTATTATACAAAATACTACATCTAAATAAAAAACTAGAATGAATACAAATACAAATAAAATATATATTGGAATGAATACGACTTAAGAAAGGATACAAGATTCTGAAGAAAAATAAATACACAGTGAAAAAAATACATGAATACAAATATGTTTCTTAAATAACTACATATTCATTTAGCATACCTATTGGAATGAATACAAACCAATAAAAAAATATAAGTTTCATTATACAAAATACAACATGAAAACTAGAATGAATACAAATAGTATACATATTGGAATGAATACGATTTATAAAAGGTTACAAAATTCTGGAAAAAAAAAAAAATACCTTGTGAGAAAGGCACACATTTGAGTTTTTTTTTAAAATGTAAGTGATGAGAAAATTAAGTGGTATTTATCTTTTTTTGTAATATTCTCTCCCTTGATTTTCTCCTTTCTGTTATCAAATAATTGTATTCTTTCAAATTAAACAAATTAATTTTTTTTACATAAATTAGATATATAACAAACTAAAATATTGACACTTTTAATAAATATTGAAAATGTGGCTAAGGGGTCCTATTAAATGCTAAAATATTGTTGTTTTGAAAATTTTCCCATACTAAGCCTAGTATAACTAATCTCATCATAACTTGTATTCAAACTAAAGGCGCGTAACTTGTATTCAAACTAAATGACCCCTTATCATTACCCTTTTCTAGGTTTGGGGGGGGGGGGGGGGGGGTGGGGGGGTTTTTTTTTGTTTTATTTGTTTTTACTAAATATCCTCCGTGATTGAATCACAAACATGAATTCCAAGACAACAAGAAAAGGTACAGTGAATTGGTCCGAACTTTCATACGATGTACTTGTTACGATAGCGAATCGAGTTACATGTATAGATGATTTCGTTGTATTTGGTGCCATTTGTAAGTCATGGGGAACCGCTGCTACCAAAGAAAATTTTGATTTTTCATCGCCACAAGTTCCGTTGCTTATGTTGGCTGCTGATGAAGGCAATGATTATCGAGAATTCTACTCTCTTTCCAAGAAGAAAGTTTCATACAGAGTTTTCTCCCAGAAGCTAAAGGGAGAGTTTGTTTTTCATCGTTCGGATGGCTTTGCACAGTAGGATATAAAGGTAGCACAGAGATGAAGTTATTGCAACCTTTTTCACGTGCCCAAATTCAACTTCCTCCTCGTACTAAAAACTATATGATAATCTATAGAGTTGTGTTATCTCCTAATCCTTCCTAAACATCCGACTATGTTGTAATGATCGCTTATTATTGTAAGCTTAGACCTTATTTGTCGTTCTGGCGACCTGGAGATCTTTACTAGACCAAAATTGATATTAAAGGTTGTGGTTTGCTCCAGGATATCAAATACTTCAAAGGACAGTTTTATATGATCACTAATGACAGAGTTTGGGTTATTGATAATCATGATCAACCCCGCTTGCTTTTCAAGAAAAACTTTAATTATGATACATATAGTTCATACTTTACACGGTACTATCTAGTCGAAGTATCAGGTGCACTATTAATTGTTAAACAATTTGTGACTATGGTATACTATTTGGAAAAATTTCTGGCGAATATCAATTTCAAGTATGGCAACTAGATTTAATCGAAGGAGAAGCAAAAGAGATTAAAATCTTGGGAGATAACGCATTATTTTTGGGGTGTACTGCTTCAACTTCAATTGACCCTTCTAGGTTTGTAGGCGTGAAGCCTAATCACATCTATTTTACTGGTAATGGGAGAGAGTTACGCCTCAACAAACACGGTGGCAATTATATAAGGGATTACAATCTTGAAGATGGAAAAACTACATTTTTTACTCATGATATTCATGTTAGTCCTAACTCCTATGTACCTGTCAACTTGGGTTATGCCGTCGTTCTGATATTTTTGATTCAAAATGCTCTTCATTGTCATTTATTTTTGTTTTCCACCTTATCAATATAAAGTTTAAGGAATTATTTATTAATCTCTTACATTGTAATCTTGTTTTACATATATGTAGTTTCTTTCTTTTGTTATTATGTTTTGGTTTTTGCATTAATTTGTTGTTGTTACTGTTCTTTTTTCCGAGTGTTCTGTATTTTGATTTCTTTATCAATTTTATAACTTCTTGATATGTAATGGTTTCAGAGTAATAATATAATGGTAAGGTCAAGTACTGTGAGAATAAATCTCTGAAGAATGGGAAATCAATAAGCAGGGGAATCCTCTAAATTGGAAAATTTGAGGATATTAAGGCGAGTTGTAACTCTTGAATGTGATATGGTGGATGTGTGTGTCATATGGAGGTATCTCCAATTAAGTCAGCTTTGGACAGGATTTCGTCCATTAGAAGAGTGGTGCCTTGGAGATATCACGTTCCACAAACTTGAGTTTTTGAAACTAGTAATACTTAGATATCTCAAAGTGGGATGCCTTAGTGCTTGAAACACTTGTTATAAGAGGGTGGGAGAAGCTCGAGGAGATCCTCTTAGCTTTGCAGATATTCCAAGACTGAAACAAATTAAGTTGCTATTTCCTAATGCTCTCTATAAATATCATCGTTACTGATCGAGGAGGTGGAAGATTTCCTAGTTTCAGCAAATATCACTAGATGTATGATTTCTGTTCTGTCATCAAATTACTTCATTATTGTTAATGAACAAGGTCCTCTATCAACAATCTATGTTTGCATTGAGATAGTGCAGAGTCCTCTATCACCTTAGAGATGGAACCAACATCTCTATCGATACAACAACAACATAAGTTTCAGTATAATCGAGTTTGAGACGGTAAAAAGTAACGGAAGGACTTTATATATCGATGATTTGAATTATTGATTTCGATTTGGTTTTGAACAACTCTAAGGACAAGTTGTAACCCTTGCAGTAGCACCCGCAATTCTGTGCCAATACTGGATAGTATTTGATTTTGAAGTTTGATAGACAAAGTTTACCTTAATACTTCGTGCGGCAAAATCAAACTCAATTTGCCTAATCCGTTTTAATTTTGGTTGGGTTATTAATCCGTCCATTTATCAGCTAATCCATTTCAATCTTAAAAAAATTTGGATTGATACGTAATTCAAATTGACTCATGAGAAATTTTGTCAAAATATTTTCAATATTTTTCCTAATTTGATTTGTTATAGGTAGTTATAATAAAGAAAAAATAATAATCTTATTAGGTACTAATATTTTTTAAAAATAAACAAAGCAATTACAACATAGTAAAATTGGGTTAGATTCAATCTTCACCCGTTTTATAATTCATTACTTGATCCGTTTTGATCTAACTTTTTCAACCCACCCAAATTTAATCGAAAAATAACTCGAATTGGGTCCGTTTTGATCCAACTCTTTTTTGACCCACTCAAATTTAATCCAAAAGTAACTCGAATTGGGTCCGAATTTTCCTCCAACAAATCTTCTTGTTGAGCGCTTACATAAATTTCCTCAAACGCAAAAACCCTAAAAGTAAAATCACTCCTCTTTTGCCCTCTTTTTAAGTTTTAGCTATGGCGGATTGGTCGTTACTTCCATACGATCTACTTGTTACAATAGCAAATCGTGTTACAGTTATGGAGGATTTCATTGTTTTTGGTGCCGTTTGTAAATCATGGCGAATTGCTGCTACCAAAGAGAATTTTGATGGACCATTCCCACAACTTCCATTGCTTATGTTGGCTGTTGAAAGAGACGACGCCAATGATTATCGTGAATTTTACTCTCTTTCGAAGGAGAAAATAACACGAGTATTTCTTCCAGAAGCTAGATCTAGAAATCGAGAATGTTTTTCAACAATGGGATGGATTGCCACCGTCGAATATACAGGTATCGGAGAGATGAAGTTATCGCACCCTTTTTCACATTCTCAAATTCATCTTCCTCCCCATATTGGTTTGAGAGATTGGGAACCAACTCATGAAAATAGCTATGTGTCTATCAATAAAATTATATTATCTGCTAATCCTTCGTTTTCGTCCGATTTTGTTGTGATTATTTCGTATAGTAGACATAAAAGTTATTTGGCTTGTTGGCGACCTGGAGATCTCTTTTGGACTCCAATTGATGATGTTGATGAATTTGGTGAATTATGGGATATACACTACTTTAATGGACAGTTTTATATGATTACTTCTAGCGGAGTTTGGGTTATTGATGAGGATTATGAACCTCAATTGGTTATTCAGAAAAACAATTATGGTCCGCGAAAGCAGCTCTATCTTGTCGAAGTATCAGGTGCACTGTTACTTGTTTCACAATTTTGTAAGCATGATAGTTTTTTTGGATCCTATATGACCTATGACTTTCGAGTATGGAAACTCGATTTAATTAGACGTAAAGCAAAAGAGATTAAAGTCTTGGGAGATAGTGCAATTTTTTTAGGGAAGAATGGATCATTTTCAATTGACACGTCTAAGTCGAAAGGAGTGAAGCCTAATCACATCTATTTTACTGATAATTGGAAATACGGAGATGGCAAAGATATGGGAGCTTACAACTTTGAAGATGGAAAAATTCAATCTTTTTATGTGGGTGTTTCTGTTCATCCTATTTGCCCGGCAACTTGGGTTATCCCATCATTATGATATCAAAAGGGGAATTGCACATACCTCTGCGACATTCTCTAGCCTAGTAATTTTGGCCATTTATTTACGTTTTCCGTCTTATCAGAGTAAAGTTTTAAGAATTATTTGCTTTCTTTGATCGTAATCGTGTCTGTATGTTTATGTTTTGAATTTCAATCTTCTTTTAAGTAAATTTTGATGATACTTCCTATGAATGATTTAGGCTTGTGATATTCACTATGCAAATATACCTCTTTAATGAGATGTTGTCTGCTTTTTTCTCCTTCCAGCACATAATTTTAGTTGTGGATTGCTAGAGTTTTTCAGTGATTAGAACTTGGGTGCAAAGTCTTAGTGTTTATCACTTTTCAGCCCTTCGAAGATGGTTAGCACTTGGTAATACACATCAGAGGATAGCTCGGTAGACTGTAAGGGCTCGTTTGGTGTGAGGGATAAGAATAAATAGTCTTGGGATAAAAAAGTAGTATTGGGGATAAAATTTTGATGTCTTGTTTGGTTGACATGTTTGGGATAACTTATCCCACCATTTATAGCATAGTGATGGGATAAGTTATCCCATATACATGGTGTGATACGTTATCCCTGGATAGTTAATCATGGGATAACTAGTTCCCAACCAAACGACCCCTAATTACTTTGTAATTGTTATTCATTGTTTAAAAGTTATCATGTTGAGAGGAAAGGACCATGAATCTTTACGGGAAGTAGAGTAAAGAACTTACGGCCTAGAACCTCCTAAAAATTTAAAAAATAATTCCTTTATTTTGCAGCTCTGTTTTGTGGTTGATCCTGTGGATTATTACACAAAAAAGGGGGAGTGGGATGAGTACAAGAACTACTGTGAATCTGCAGCTATTGCCGTGGTAGAAGATGATTCTGCGTTGGTATTGTCCTTGTTGATCCTTGGCTAATGCTGCAAGAGTAAAAGCGAGTGGTGTATCAAAAATCGCGACTTTAGCAAAAAAGTTGCACTGCAACCTATCTTTGTTAGGTTGTCCTCCACTCCATTTGCCTTCCTGTACGTATGGGTTGGAGTAATCACCTGCAGTCGTACAAAATATTGGAGTGTATGAGGTTAGTAGATTGCAAGAGATCGAGAACTTCTTGCACATCTATTTCTATGACCTATGTTGCTCGGACTCTTCAAAAATGTCAAGGGGTGCGTGTGCAAAAAGTAGTGTATTTTTGGAGAATCCGACATGTGTGTGGCATTGAAAGTGAAGAGTCAAAGCAACTTAGTCTATGACTAATGGTTGTAAGTTATGGATAGGGCAAGCTGTTGCCACTGCAGCAGTGCCTGCAGTTCAGTGCCAATACTGGATATTGTGCGTAGCGTTCAACAGGTAGCCATGTCACCAACACCACCATTGCCTCCTTTACCTGAGCCGGAAACTATTAATGAGTGAAAGCCACTTAATGGTAAGGAGAGGAGTTCACGAATGTCTTTTCTCATCGTGTAGTCGGAGAATTTGAACACCACTACATCCTTCCATTCCTCTGGAAATATGAATTATATAGTTTTTTAAATTTTTATTAGATGATTAAAACAACGCAATACTCCTTATATGTAATTTGTTCCTACTCTTTATTTGTTAGATGAAATTTGCCATTCCTAACACATGTACATAGCTATATTTTGGCTAAAAATGCATGTATAGTTATCTCCTCTATTACTATGTGGAAACTGGAACATTAAATTTTTTTAAGTTGGAGTTGTGTTTGGTCATACTTTTTGCGATGAATATTTAGAATCTAGTGTACTTTTTCTATATATGGTTTAATTTATACCCCTAATATTTAAAAACAAGTAAAATCACCCAACTCAACTAAATTTATCTAAAACATACAAATCTGCTCTTAAGAATAACATCTCATAATAGATATCATGTAATGTCATAGATAGATTTCATATACGAGATGTTACATACCATTGCAAATATTTTTTCACTTTATTTGATATTTTTGAAGTTAGATTTAGTTGTTTGAACGTACTTTTCCTAAAAAAATATGAAATATGATTTGATTATAAAACATAATTCAAATAGGGGCCATTTTATAAAAATAAAAAATTTAGAGTAAAATTCAAAAAAGAAAAATATAGTAAATAAAAATAAGGTTTTGAGTGTTTTTCAAATTCTACTAGGTCTCACATAAGTAGAATTTTTTTAAGTATAAATTACGTGCTAGGAGCAAATTCTTGTCTAATTATTTTCTTTTGCCTCTTTTTGCTATGGCGAATTGGTCTGAACTTTCATACGATCTACTTGTTACGATCGCGAAGCTTGTTACAGAGATAGAGGATTTCGTTATATTTGGTGCTGTTTGTAAATCATGGCGAACTGCTGCTATCAAAGAAAATTTTGATCTGTCATCAGCCCAACTCCCGTTACTTATGCTGGCTGCTGATAAAGATGATGATTATCGAGAATTTTACTTTCTTTCCCAAAAAAGAAGTTCACCTAAAGGGCCATTACGTCTTCCAGCTCATCAAGGACGATGGCGTTGCACTGTGGAATATATTACAGGTATCTTAGAGATGACATTGTGGAACACTTCCTCACATGCCCGAATCATTCCTCCAACACGTGAATATAACAATCACGTGGTCATCGACAAAGTTGTGTTATCTGCTGATCCTTCCTTAACATCCGACTATGTTTTGATGATTTCGTATTATAATGGGCATGTACGTTATTTGGCTTTTTGGCGACCTGGAGATCTCGTATGGAATAAAATTGATATTAAAAAATGTGGTAAATTCCAAAATATCCACTACTTAAAAGGACAATTTTATATGATCACACGTGTTGGAGTTTGGGTTATTGATGTTGCAACGCCTAGTAATCAAGAACCCCGTTTGGTTGTTGAGAAAAACAATTGTGGTCTACCTTGGCCGTATAAAAAGCAGTTCTATCTAGTTGAAGTATCAGGTGCACTATTACTTATTGCACGATATTCTAGTAATGATAAATTTGATAGAGCTAATTTTGGATATAAGACATACGCATTTCAAGTATGGGAACTAGATCTAATCAAAGGAGAAGCGAAAAGGATTAAATTATTGGGAGATAGAGCAATACTTTTGGGGTATAATGCTTCAACTTCGATTGACCCTTCTAAGATAATAGGCGTGAAGCCTAATCACATCTATTTTACTGATCTCAAAGTGGGTGTCAGATATATGTTTGCTTATAGTCTTGAAGATGGAAAAATTCAATCTTTTGTTCAGACACATTTGGTAGACTTTTGGTAGACCCTTTCACCCACAAACTTAGGTTATACAATTGTTCTGACATTTTGGAATAAAAATTCTAGCTCTTGCTTTAATTTGGGTTTGGCAATTTGTTTTTTTTTCCTACGATAATGTTTAGGGAACTATTCCTTTACCTTGAGAAAATTGTAAGTTAGACATATTAACTTCAATACATGATAGTAAAATATGTATTAGTAATGTAGGATTTCGTTGTATATTATGTTGTTACTAAAGAAAAATTTGATATTATCGAGAATTTTACTCCCAAAAGCTATAAATAGCTAGCGAGTGTGGAATGACTTTGCACTGCGGAATATACAAGTATCGGAGAGATAACATTGTTGCCCCCCATGGCATGCTCCCAAATCCAGCTTGGATAATTGGAAACCAGGATATGACTAAATGATTTCCTATTTTAGGTCTAGAAGTTGTTTGGTTTTTTAGCAACGTGGAGATCGTTACTGATCACTACAACAAAAATAACCTTTAGCTGCAATAAATATACACATTAACAAAGAGTTATAAAACACACATGCACGCACGCGCCACACACACCGTATATGAATTAGTTAGGTTGTGTGATTTTGCTAGTTTTTAAGAATTGGGATATAAATTAAATAATATTTTTTTTAAAAATACATTCATATTCCAAATATTCTTTGCAAAAAAATATGATCAAACACAAATTTAACTTAAAAAATTACAAATAAAATAAATAATTTTTAATTTTCAAGGTCAAATGCACGATTATATCAAGGTATGCATTGTACCTCTCAAATTTTTATTATATTAGAAAAGCATGGTTTGGTCAATCTTCAAAAAATGACTTATTTTGATGATGTGTTTTTTTCAAAATAGGTTTTTAAAGAAATACTTTTTGGAAAGAAACCAATAATTATGTTGTCCAAGCCCATTGGTGTGAGAATTTATTTAGCATTTTTGTCTTTAATAAAATTTGAATTGAAGATCATAACTTACTTCATTAATTACTAGATCATACCCTTAAGTATCATTGTTATTTATAGGATTAATTGTTAATGACTTCAATAATATTTTTTCTCCCTCATAAATTAACACCCAAAAATACTTCATGAAAACGTTGATCAAACACCATCTCTACTTTCAAATGATTATGCCAAATAGAATGGGGTGTTTAGGGAGGGGGAAGACAAGTATTATTTCATTGTAATCTTGTTTGACAAAACAAGTATTATGTCTCACAATTGCATCATTTTCCTACAGACTCTTCATATCACTTTCCTACTCACGTCATTACTATGTAGCTAGAGCTTCTAATGCGTGAGCAATATCATTAGAACATGACGTTGGTTAAGAAAATAAAAATAATCACATAATTATGTTTTGTAATAGAAAAATGATATAATTTTCACCCTATTAACAGATAAATGTAGTGTAAAAATTCATTTTACTCATTGGAAGAATGAATTTTTTGATAATCATGACATTTTGTGTTGGCAAGATGAGAATTTTGTATTTTTTTTTTATTAAAGAACATAATTATATGACCGCAGTAAAAGAGTTATAATTAACTATGATCATTCATAAAATTTACACAATAAAATTATCAAGTAGCTAGTAAGAAATTATTCAAACATAGAATTTGGAAATGACTAGGGTTGTGGCAATAGTGAAACCACTCCATCCTTAATTAAAAATCTCGGATTTAACTTCGAGTTTGGCCATCAATAAAATCCTATTGAAAGTGTCATTATTAATAGCTAGGTTTCCACTAATTAATCATCGTGTGTAAGGGATCTGATGAGTGTTGGTATGTTTTATTAAAAAATATTGTATGTTGTTTTGTGTGAATGTTGAGTTAATCCTCATACAATGTTATATTGGCTGCGTTACGTTATATATGTAATGGACCAAACTCATCAAACATCACTAATTTATATTATATAACACAGTGTCGACGAATTCTTGACATTAACAT